ACACGTATGTTTCCATTCTGATCACCAGATATTAGCTCTTTCTGAAAGAAAAAAAAAACATACAATGTTATGAAAATTTGGTGGGAAGAAACAAACAGAAGTAACAGAGGAGAATAGGCAAAACAAAAACTATCTGACTCAACCATCAAAGTTAAGAATACTGATACTTAGTCAGTACAAGAAAATAAAGTTCCACAGGAAATTTGAGAAACAGAGAGTGAGACATGCCAGGCCATCTCTGCAGTTTGAGACGAAGGCTAGCCATATGAAAATTCAGTTCACTCTGCCAAGTTGATTTCAAGGATATCACAATAATTGAAACCTCTGATCCTTCAAAAAAAAAAAAATTGAAACCTCTAAATTCAAAGCAACACGCAGTCAAATTGTTTTTTGCCAGCATTTTTGCATTACAGAGTTGGCAAGGGATCCAATCAACGCCAAGCAATCACCTAAAACAGTATGGAAGTAATGAACAGAAGTAGCTAACCAACAAGTTTATAACCAATTGTAGCTTAATCAGTGTTGTACTTGGATGAAAACATTTGAAATCAATTACCACTTAGACCATACAAATAAATAATGAAAGAAATGATTCTAACCTGATTTGGATGCAGAACTACAGTGTTGACAGCGGCACGACTTTCATATTCTCGTTGGCAAGTGCCAGTCCTGAAACCATACACGCACAAATAACAAAAATAAATATCAAAGACATAAGATGATTTACAGCTAAGAAAATTAGTAAGGTCCACATTGTACAAAATTTAAAAGGTAATATAATTTACATCAGACCATCTAGTAGCACTACTAGACAAACTCATAAAAGTTGTAAGAGATTTGGAGGATTCAGATAGTCAGATTTTAATGAAATTGTTGTGGCCGCATTATTCACGGATGAGCTATTGATTTGTGAGGTGGTTATTTTTGAAATGTCCATATGTGTGCCCTTTTAAGTTTCTCTAAGATTTAGTCCGTTTAAAGCAAACCAACACCATATTGTGAGCATGAATGATAGCACCAGGAGATTGATCTGCACTGGATTGTCCCCTAGTTAAGGACATTTTTTTCAAGTTTTCACTAGAACTGCAGGTCAAGTAAAATAGGCTTGTAACTTAAGAAATGATAGTATGATACAACACATTAGGTTTGAAAAGCTCACCGTAAATCCCAAATTCTAACAGTACCATCTTCAGAACCTGAGTACATCCAGTTACCATCACAATGGAATCCCACAGCCATCACATTGCTCGTATGTGAATCATAGCTAATTACCTGCTAGGTGTATTCTCATCAAACAAGGAAAAGGAACTTGATGACCCATAGGGATTGATGTTGAAAACATGTATTCGTACCGGTTGAGGGCTATTTGAGTTGACGTCAAAAAGGCGGATATGAGGATTGCCTGCAGCAGCTAAGAATCGCTTGTCCGGGGTTATCTCAAGGCGATTAACTTGCTGCAGTCAACATGTTACAGCAGTGAAAAGGTATGTAAGATTGTTTTTAAACTAGATAGCTCTGATGCTGACGGTGAAGCATTACCAATAGCCATTACTTACAGAGTCTGGATATTGAATAGTGCGGTAACAGCGACCGCTCTTGGCTTCCCAGAATCTGATTGTGTGATCATAACTTGCAGTTGCTAGAATGACAGAAGGTTGAGCCATTTAGCAGCATTAGCCTGCACATACATGAACATGCTCTCAGAATGATGAAAATAGACACACAAAAGATGGCATTATATATGGTAACAAATGGATAGGCTTTGGTGTTACAATTTACAAAGAATCCATTTATCCTACGGTTGAGCATTTATTCCTATCCTTACATATAAATCCAATCAACCACTAAATTGGTACATGATTTTTCTTTTTACCAGGGTTCCAAAAAGCGGCACTAAGCGCACGCTTCAGCGCGCCGAAGCGCTAAGCGGACGGGTAGCGCTTCGCTATGGGGCATAAGCGCTCCCAAAGCGGCGCGACCGCCTTGGTGGAGCAGCGGCTGCTGGCTCCAGCTGCCCGCCGGCCGCGCGCGGCGCGCGGCGCGCGGCGCAGCCGCAGGGTCCGGGCGCCCTCGACGGTCCAGCGGAGGCGGGAGGGGAGAAGGAGGTGCGTACGCAGGGTCGCCGGCCGGTGTGCGGAGGACGGAGGCGAGGGCGCGAGGCGACTGGCGAGAGGCGGGAGGGGGAGCCGCTGACGCCGCCGCCGAGCCTGGGACTGCCCCGCCGTCGCTGAGAGCCCGAACCTGAGCGCCGCCTCCGTCGCCTTCGTGCCGAGCGCCGAGTGGGGGAGGGAGCAGAAGATGGAGCGCCGGCGCGGCGGCTGTCAGGCTGTGTGCCTCAGTGTTAGGGTAAAGACTAGGTGGTGGTGCGAGGGTTTGTGCTGAATTAATGGGCTTTTCTAAATAAAAGCCCATACCATCTTTTTTTCTTTTTCTTTTCCATTTCTTTTTTCTTTCTAACATCTTTTGATTATTCATCTAAACGGTCGTTTAGTCCATTTACACACTGTTTAAATTCTACACGGTGCTACACCATTTCCGTTTAATTGGTTGTTTTTACCATTTAAATGGCCGTTTTGTCCGTTTAAACACCCGTTTTACTTAATTAATAGGCTAAATGGTAGATGACCGACTATTTACCGTTTAGCGTTTAGGATAACATCGTTTTTGACAACTCAGCACATAATCTATATCTATCTATATTATCTATATATCTACAACAACATATTTACCTGCGATGTCGTGAAGCCACATTAATCTCCATTATCCTCTATAGATCCCCATGTATTTGTAATTAAATTCCTTGCTCCACCAAAAGACATCCGATTTTTAACCTGGACTAACGTCTATTGGGCTTCCTAGCCTCCTGTCACGTTTATTCGGGCACATTTCCTATAGTTTGTGCCTAAAATTATTGCTCTTCTTAGATGATGGCTTTGGTTTGGGATGGGGTTGTTGGAGGGGAAATATGTCCTTTGGCCTTATAAAAAAGACTGGGGGAGACATACTGGCCACGTGAAGGAGGTGAACCGAAGGAGGAGGACAACGTTTGGGTCAGGGAGGGGCAAGAGAGGAATGATGGCGACCCGGTGGCAACAAGGCTGGACGCGGTGGTCGGGAGATCGTTGAGGATGGGTGATGGGGTGGGGTGGGGTCGGGTGGGGGTGTTGAGTTTTGCAACCTCGTGTGTTGAAAGAAGACAACTCAAGGTTGAAGATGACTCAATAGTTGCACGATGAAGATCCAATTGCTCTGATTTGTTGTCTAAAAGAAATGAAAAAAAGAGGTACATGATGTAGAGTGTGCTCCTCTCATTAAAAAATAATTAGTGAGTACCCCCTTCCTTAAAAAATAACAACACATCTTATTTTTTTGAGAAATTAAACTTTTTAAAGTTTGATGAAATTTATAGAAAAAATATCAACATTTGTATCTCATAATATGTTTATAACGAAAATATATTTCATTATTAATCTAATCATACTTATTATACATGATAAATATTATTATTTTTTATATATTTGATTAAACTTTTAAAATATTAACTTCTTTAAAATCGAGATATGCATTTATTTTTGGGATGGAGAGAGTAAGATAAGATTCATCAAATCTGAGAAGGTGCCTGAAGTGGAGCCACCATCCATTGAGGGCGAAGCTTATGCAGGAGACTATCAACAAGTTAATGTGCGCATGCACACACGCGGCATGGTTCGCCAAGGTTACTTGTGCACATTTCCTATACTTCAGGTGTCTGAAATCGGATCTCTTCTCAAGCGACCGCTTCGGTTTCGGGATAGGGGGTTGTTGGAGGGAAAAATATGCCCTGTGGCCTTAGAATAGGGACTAGGGAGACATGCCAATCACTTGGAGGAGGCGCGTGGAGGAGGACGACAGTTAGGTTAGGGTGGCGCAGGAGAGGCACGATGATGACTCGGCGATGCTGGGTTAGCCTGCTTAGCACGATGGGGGATGCAGGGGTCGGACGGGGTGGGGTGGGGTGGGGGACTAGGTCACTGAGGATGGGACATCCGGTAGGAGGTGGGGGTGAGCTTTTGCAGCCTTCCGTGTTGGAAGAAGACAACTCAAGGCTTTTTTTAAGCAAAGTGCTTTATATTACTCGTCATACCCAGCTCAATCGCTAGCCACCACATCCTCAATCTCTTGAGGTAAAATATCCCAAGTGCTACGATGATCCACCAATTACAGCCAGTTCATAAGCTATTTTATTACAAACGCGCTTACAAACACTAAGACTGAAGGAACTAAATTCAGTCCGCAAGAACAGCTTCATTTCAGTGATGATTCCTCCAACAGCCGACAATCGATAATCATCGAGTTTGTCTATCTAACACCCGGGTGTTTTAGCACCTGGGAACACACGATGGGTACTGTTCATCTTCCTCCTCTCCTCTTCCTTCTTGGCACAAATCACAAATCACAACGAACAAATCACAGATCACATGTAACAATTTTTTTTCCTATGAAAGGACAAAGACAGATCTTGGTGGTGGCGCCGAAGTTGAGGAAGAAGAAGGTCGCCGGACTTGAGCAAGATGCGGGGCGCAGCGGTGCCGGCGCGCGCGGGGACGGGCAAGCACGACGGCGGCGGTGCGGGGACGGGCGGGCGTAGGCACGGCTGCGCTGCAGCGGCGGACGTGCGGTGCCACGGCCAAAAAAATTCATGTGCCACCGGGTGAATAGCATTTTCATAATCATCAGTCTCAAGCACAGTTTTGACAAGGGACGCATCAGTCTCAAGGTTTTTTTAATGCAAATTAGGGGGGACAGTTTCCCACCAGTTTGACAACTCAAAGTTGAAGATGACTCAATAGCCGCCCCCGCACGATGCAGTAATGCAGATCCAATCGCTCTGATTTGTCGTCTGAAAGAAATGAAAAAAAAACAGGCTCATAATATAATGTACAGTAATAATGTTTGCCTTATTCGCGTGTGGGTGTGGCCGCAATTCTGCAACGATCGAACCCTATGACCCTATCGGTTGGTTAATTGGCAACGCCGGCCGGCGTGTGTGGGCATTGGCTCTCGTAGGTGCAGCCCCTGGTGTAGGACCCACCCGGGCCCTTGGCGGCGCACTGGTTGCCGCTCTGGCAGCCCGGCCTGTCCTTGTCGAGGGCGCCGTAGCCGATGCCGCCTTCGCCCGCCCCCAGCAGCATGCCGCCGAGCTCCGGCGCCACCTCGTCCTCCAGTCGCCGGTAGTGCTGCCGCCACTTGTTACTCCGAGCACCGGCAGCGCCGCCGGCCCTTGTCGTCGTCGCAGGGCGGCGGATGATCACCATCCTGGGGCCGCTGTACTCGCCGCCGCCAGCGGTGGCCGGGACGTCGGATGCGACGAGGACGAGGACGAGGAGGACGGCGAGGGACAGGCTGCTGGCTGCCATCGTGCACGACCAATGGATCGACTCGGTTATTTCTACGGTAAGGCTGTGATGCGCGCGGTCATGCGCATGACACCTCGTCTGGCCGTCTAGGTAGCTGGCTCGTATGAGTCTTAATATAGTGCGCGCGTGCACGGTGGGTGCACAGAGCTAGATTACTGTTGCAATCACGAACACAAAGGTTGATGGGGGAGGAGTGCACCTTTAGCTTCGAGAGTATATATGCAGTGCAATCAATCATTTTGGGACCGGACCAAAGCAAAGGGGATCGATCAAGGTGCAGTAGGCACGCGCACTTCATATATAGCACGAATAAGCTGCAAATAAAGGTTAGTATACATGTATGATTAGACGGTCTCCAATAACCATAACCCAAAATACAAGACATATTCGTTCTTTGGGTAGTGTTACGGACAAATGGTTCAATACCTATTTTTGTTCTTCTCCAACAACCAGACCCAAAAGACAACCTATTTCTACAAATGGGTATCCAGAAGAGAGGATACTCAGATTTGGGTTATGTCTCTCCTGGCACATAAAATGGATCTTCTATATAGGTACTCTGTTGAAGACTATATGTATTGTATTGAAGACTCATTTTAGATTTAAATTCAACAATAGGTCTCCTGTTGGAGACATCCTTATAAAGGTGAAACATGGTGGTGTGGTGTGGGCGTCCTAGCTAGACTCATATAGTGGGGCGCTATATATAGTCCGCCGTACCATACATCTCACCTGCAGCTAACTTAAGTTACTTCACCAGCCACGTCTATCTGACGACATGATATGGCATGCATCTGCATCTTGGTTGGGCGCTGCTGAAAGGCCGAAACCCGAGTGGAATTCAAGGGTCGCACTTGAACTGCCAAGGCCACCGCATTTGGGAGGACTGGGGATAAATGACCTCAAATTATCCTGGTATGCTCTTCAGACTAAATGGCTATGGTTGCAGCAAATTGATCCAGACCGGGTTTGGGGTCAGCTACCCATACAGACCGCTCCACAGGTACAGGCTTTCTTCAAAGCTTCAACATTCACGATCATAGGTGACGGCCGCACAACGCTTTTCTAGGAAGATCGCTGGATCAATAGTGAATCGGTCATTGACATCGCCCCATGCCTATACTATCTGGTGCCGAGAAGAATTCGTCAGCAGCAAACGGTCTGCGATGGGCTGCATAATAGGAACTGGGCACGCAGTGTCAGCAGGGGAATGTCACTCCAGGCGATCATGGACTATCTGCATCTCTGGAATGCGGTGGCGACGGTGCAGCTCAATGATCAGCCGGACAGGGTCATCCGGCGATGGACTGCAGATGGGAAATACTCAGCAAAGTCCGCGTATAACATGATGCACCAAGGCTCTACTCCGATGCTTGCCCACAAACTGATCTGGAAGACATGGGCACTGCTTAGAGTCAAGATTTTTCTCTGGCTCGCCTTCAAGCGCAGGCATTGGACCGGGGATCGAAGAGCGAGGCATGGTCTAGAAGCTAGAGAGCTCTGCTATCTTTGTGACCAGGCCCAGAGACCATCGACCACATCCTGGCGACTTGTCCATTCTCAAGAGAGAGATGGTTCTACATCCTGCAGGTATTCGGGCGACAATCCCCACAAGCCACGGCAACAACAATAAGTTGGTGGCGGAGGCTACGCCGCCTCTTTGATGGTGAGCAACGATCCGGACTCGACTCCCTATTTGCTTTAGTCTCATGGCAAATTTCGAAAGAGCGCAATGCAAGGTGCTTCAGAGGAGAAGCTGCAAGCGTCACCGAGTTGCTGCAGCTCATCAAAGCAGAAGCTGATCGCTGGACTGAGGCAGGCGCGAGAGGCCTGGGAGCGCCGGCGAGCGTCTAAAGAGCATGTCCGAGAGTTCACTAAACATTCTTCTAATCCTTACTTTTTAGAAAGATGAGGAAAAAATCCTCTCCAACAACTTCTAATATAGAATTTGGAAAATCTCTCCCTTTAGAACTTGAGAAACACTGTGGAACAACTCCGCCCGGCACGATTAAAAGCACGCCAAAAGCACATTGGCTCCAGCGAAACAACTCCGTCGATTACGACACGCCGCGGCGAAAAACGCTCTCCGTCTACAACACTGCGTAAGCGAGAAACATCATCTCAGTGCGGGGCCGGGGCGGGAGCAGCGAGCGCGATGGTGGCGCCATTCCGGGCGCTTCGCGGGCGTCTACTTCAACCCGACGGCGGAGGAGTGCGTGTGCGCGACTACATCAAGCCATGGGCAGGCGGCGCGCCGCCGCCGATGGACGGGTCATCTGCGGCGTGGGCGTCTGGCGACAACCCGGCAAGCGCCTGCTGCTTGGCGCGAGCTGGCTTCTCGAGGGAGTTCGACCACAAGTGGCTCATGCTCAGGCCCGCGGCGGCGGCGGCAAGAGACGGCGGCAGCCGCTGGAAGCGCCAAGTCGCCACGGGCGGAAGTCGGCGATCGGAGCAGACGCCTAAGGGCGTCGTCGGTACCGCGGACGGTGAGGACGCGAGGATGAGGATGAGCAGCCCCACGGCGGTAGGAGGCGCTCCTTCGGCTTCTACGTCGGCAAAAATGGGAGGAAGAGGGGAGAGAAGACGCCATGGCTCATGGAGGAACTTGGTCGGCCGTGAGCGTCACGCTGGAGCCCTTGGCGATGAGCGGGTTGATCCTTCTCGATCTTGTTTCCCGGCGTGGAGTTGATGACGATGGAGCCGTCGCAGCCCCGGACGAAGCAGGTTCGCGTGGAAAAAAAGAAGACTGCGAAAAAAAAAGTCAAATGGGACCAGCATTTGATTTTTAGAACTCAAATATTATGAACTATTAGAGATGAACTTCTTTTTTTCTCCTAAAACATTTTTAGGAGTTAGCAAACATAGACTTTTTAGGAGGAATATTTAGAGAACTCTTGGAGATGCTCTAACGCAGCATGGGTTCTTCTAGAATCTAGGATTGATGCCTTCCAAAATGTAGCGCTAAAAGAAAAGTAACGGCCGGAAAATATAAACACTTATATCTTCTAACGCAAAGATATGCACACTCGTGCGCACTCAAGAAAAAAAACTGCCAAGGCCACTTGTGCTCAAAAAATGAAGAGGATCGATCGAGAGGCTTAATTGAACAACATATGCGACAGGGCTGACTTGTCAACACTGGGCCTCCTATCAGCGGGCCTGTGACTGATGACACTACTACCGCTGGGGCCAGGGTCGGGGCCCAAGCAGCGAACAACCCCGATTGCCGAGCAATCCCGCGTACCACTGTCACTGAAGCCTATTACGATTTGGACGGGGGCATTTTATAAGTATGGTTTGGCTATTTATTTCTCTCGTATTCTTGATAATATACCATCATTTGCGAAAAGGTCAATGCCACAGAATACGTGAAATACAACTTTTTGTTTAGGTACCAACTAGTACGGTCCAACAATTCATATAAATATGTTTTTCGATCTTCAAAGTTTGCTACCTTAGCCCAGTGACCTGTCTGTGCTAGAAGAACTGAACTTGACTTAGTTGTCATGCTGTTGCCAAATGATAGATGCCCCCAGACCAGATGGTTTTAACAATGAATTCTCGAAAAAAGTGATGAAATCATTGGTGATAGGTGATTAAATTGGACAACAATGATTTTCATATCAGGTGCCTCTTCTATTCTTCTTAATGGTGTACCAGGAGAAACGTTTCGTCGAAGAGGGGTTAGGCAGGGTTCCCTCCTTTTGTGTTGGCAGCAGACCTTCTTTGGTCCATACTTATCAGAGCTTCACAGTTAGATTGTTTTGATATCCCGCTGTCTTATACATATGATTTCCCCATTATTCAATATAATTATACTCTTATTATCATGGAAGCATGTGGAAGAGAACTCTTTACTCTCAAGGCTCTCCTTAACAGTTTTGCAGAGCATATTTTTTTTCTAAATCGATGATGAGCCCATCAATGCCTCTCAAGAGAAGATCGATATTTTGGCTGTGCTCTAGGCAATCTACCCTTCACATACCTTGGTCTTTCCACTGGGATTAATAAAGTGAACGGTTGCTGATTTCCTCCCTTTGATTACAAGATGTGAGCACCGACTTATCTCTACCTCGGTCTTTTTATCTTAGGCTGGAAGATTATAATTAGTAAATGCATTTCTCTCTCTCTCTCTCTCTCTCTCTCTCTCTCTCCTGACTTCTTTCATGTGCACCTTTAATTAAGCTGCACTCCATAGTAATTGAACAAATTGACAAATATCATAAGCACTGCTTATCGAGAGGGGCTTACCTTAATGACAAAACCACCCCAAAAGTAGCATGGCCTATGGTTTGCACTCCAAAGGAAGAAGGTGGCTTGGGAGTACTAAACTTAAGGATTCAAAACCAAGCACTTCTTTTGAAAAACTTGTAACTTGTATAAGTTTTTCAACAAACTGCTGATCTGGGAGAAACAGTATTTCTAATGGTAAGCTTCCTGGACAGTAGGAAGGGATCTTTTTGGTGGAAAGATATCCTAAGGCTTCTAGATACTTTCAAAGGACTGGCATCGATCAGTTGTCATCCAAAATGGGAAATAAATTGGGTGGGCGAGGGGCGCAGCTAAGGATGTAAACAGAATGGAAATATCCCTAACCGAACCACATCGTTTTCTATATTTAATCCGATCGAATCCGTATTTTCTTGTCCGACTTTACCGTTTTCGCTTTCGCATTTGAGATGTTTCGTATTTCAAATGTAAAAGTAAAAAACGGTTTACACATTTTTCTACCGTTTTCTACTTTTCTACTTTTAATTTGAAATATTCCGAATTCAAAACCGAATTTGGCCAACTGCATAGGTCATACAACCCAATTATAGGCTGCTCACCATGCAGCTACGTTCTTTCTACTGGTGGCTAGCTGCCCTCTCTTATAGACGGCGCCCAGCCTCATCTCTCTTATTATGTATTTGGTCGTGCACTTGTTTAATGCTATGCACTTGTTAGTTGATTATGCACTTGTTAGTTATGAACTTGTTATGTATTTGGTCGTGCACTTGTTTAATGCTATGCACTGTGGGTCGGTATTTCGTATTGAATTTTCGCATGCCGACCGTTTTCGACATAATTCCGCTCGAATTGGCTCGTTTCCGAAATTCTAGATATTCCATAAGTTCGTGTTCGTTTTCGTGTCCGGCTTGTCCGCCTTCGCTTTCGTATTTCAAATGTAAAAGTAGAAAACGGTTGAAGAGTTTTTCGACCGAGTTCGACCGTTTTCATCCTTAGGCGCAGCGACGTGTGCGTGCGCTCCCCCTCCCGATGGTCGCCACGTGGAGCCCGACGGCTATCACACGCGCCGCATCAGGAGTTAGCCACGGTCCTCGCTCCCCTCCCCAATGGACCGGCAAACCGACGCGAAGACCACGTACTCAAACAGGAGTAGTTACCTTCATCTACTTGTATTGTTAGCAGTATATGGCAAGTTGAAAATATCAGTAGTGTCAGACTGTCTAATCCAGAACTAGAACGAATATCAGTTGTGAGAGGCTGGATCTCAGCATCTCTTTGATCATGTAGCTAGTGCGATGGGCTAACACTGTTTAACACATGCCAGCATACACTCGTTTATTCATGTAATAACTGCATGCAACACACACGCACAGTAATTTCGCGTCGTCCGATCGGAATCGGATGGCAGTGTAGCTCACCCATGCACGGCGCGTGCGTGCCCGGCGACAGTGGGGGTGTGGGCGCAGTGTTCAATGTACGTGCACGGCCGGGTGTTGGAACCTCCCGGCCCGTGGGCGGCGCACTGGGCGTGCGGCAGGCAAAGCGGCCTGTTCGGGTTCAAGGCATCGGTGGAGACGTGGCCGCCGCCGTTTCCCGCCCCCAGCAGGCTGCCGAACTCGGGCGCCACCTCGTCCTCCACCAGGCGCCGCTGCTGTTGCCACTTGTTAAGAGCACCGCCAGCGGAGACGACCCTACTTGACCCGGGGGCGTGGATGATGACCATCCTGCCGCTGTACTTGTCGGCGGCGGCGGCGGCCACTACTGGAACGGCGGATGTGGCCGCGAGAATGGCGACGGCGGTGGCGAGGAGGAGGGCGGCGAGGGGCAGGTAGGTGCCAGCCATCGTGCTCGTGCACTGGTTTAGTTTGCTTCTTCGTTCCTACCTCCTAAGGCATGCATGCAGTCACTTGGGCTGGCTCCGGGTGCTTCACTAGCTGCTTCTTATATATATTTTGAGCCCGGCCAACACAGAGTATGAATGATTGGAATCACATCACTAACCGATCCAAATTAAATATCGAATAAACAACAGATGGAGCACTCAAAAAATTGGCTGATGATAGGCTGTAGGTTCAGAGAGGGAGCAATGTAACATACTAGACGACATACATAGTGCATATACAGTGGGAAAATATGATTAAAGGCGCCCTTTGGTGCTGCAATTGAACAGCATGCCTATGCTTTCGATCGTGCTAACACTGACATAAGGAGCAAGCGGGCCAGGCTAGCGCTGCTTACTTCATCCGGAACGTCTACCTGACGACATGCCACTTGTTGTGCAAAGGCAGCTGACAGGCAGCCAATGACCGACAACATCATATAAATTGCCAAGTGGCATACCGCATACGAAACTGTTGCATAATAATAATATTATATGGTATACTTCCTCCGTCCCTAAATAACTAACCGTCGCTTTTGGTTTTCATGGCGTAAGTTTGACTAGATTTATAGAAAATGCGTGCAATATTTGTATCTCTAAATAAATTTATTATAAAAATAGATTTAACGATCTATCTACTAATATTAATTTTGTACCATAAATATTAATATATTTTTATTTCTAGTCAAAGTTGTTTCTCGAAAAGCAAAAACGATAGTTATTTAGAGACGGAGAAAGTAATAACCAAAGAATGGTATACTAGACAGATCGAGACTGAAGTTGATGCATATTATATATGTGTGCTCGCTCTCAAGTCGATATAGTGCACTACTAGAATATGGAATTGCCATGAGGACCCGAATTTCCTTGAGTGTCAAAATAAAACCGTCAAGAAAAATATAGTTTCCTTGGATGTGGATATTGACCTCCAAAGAAATATGTATTTCTTGAGTTTTGAAGTAAACCGTCAAGGGATATTGATGTTTTTTTTTGGTGGTTTCTAAGAACCTCCAAAAAAAATTACACATTTCCTTGAGTGTACTGGTAAACAATCAAGGAAAATTCCATTTCCTTGAGTGTTATTTAACTGCCAAGAAAAAATGGTTATTTTCTTGAGTGTTATTTTAATCCGCCAAGAAAAATTACTATTTCTTTGGGGGTTATGCAATTTCCTTGGTGGTAGTGGGCGATGCATATGGAGGGGATGAATAAACAAATAAAGTTGATGATGATGCACGCACGTACTGCGGCACGGTTCACACACGTACTGCCTTCCCGGCGCACCGGCCGGTTTATTTTGTGCGCGCGGCTGCAAGCCTGCAACAACGAACAACACACACGGGCATGCGCATACATCGCCTCTCGGCTCAGTTGGCAACAATGGCCGCCGCGACGGTGTATGGCACGCACGTATCGTACGGCGTGCTCATGTCAGTGCGCGCATTTATCCCCGTACGTGCACCCCCGGGTGTAGGACCCTCCTGGCTTGGTGCACTGGCCGGACGGCAGGCAAACCTGCCCGTCCTTGTTCAAGGCACCGTCGGAGATGCTGCCGCCGTTTCCCGCCCCGAGCAGGCCGCCGAACTCGGGCGCCACCTCGTCCTCCACCAGGCGCCGCTGCTGCTGCTGCCACTTGTTGAGCGCACCGCCAGCAGAGACGTCGAGGACCCTTGCCCCGGGTGCGCGGATGATGACCATCCTGCCGCTGTCAGTGACGGACTTATGTTTTTACCTCTAGATATGCGTAACAAAAAATTTTCTTATGCAATTCAATAAACCATGTATAATTTGGCAAAACTATATTCTCATTCGGTAAAACCATATTCTAAAACCATATAAGTTGTTCAAATGAAATACAAAATACTTTAAAATATAGCCGTATAAGAGACTTACAATATTACTTATTGATCCGTCGCTTTCTCAATGACATGAATGTCTCAATTATATCATCTTCATCAACTTGAAATAAAATATCCCGCTCAATAAATATTTGTAGACAATCATCCAGAATAATATCACCTAGCTTATTCCTTGATTTTGTTTTCACTATAACCAATGCAGAAAATACCCTTTCAACGCTCGCAGTTGCCACCGGTAAAAGCAATACCAATTTGAGAAGCAAGTACACCATATCATACACTTTGTGCCTATTTGTATCAACAAGCTTAACTGAGAGATCAACAATGTTGTTTAGACCTTGGAAGCATTCAGATCGTTTCATGTCATCGATATAATTATCAAGTTGCAATTCTAGCTGTACCAAATTTTTGTTGGAGAAGTCATTAGGATAAAATTTAGCCAATCTACGCAGCTTCTGTGCATCAAATGAAGCAAAGGACTTGGAAGGACTAAAGGCTGACATACAAGAGAGTAGCTCCATGTTGATCTCATCAAACCGATTATCGAGCTCTTGACTAATTTGATCAATGACACCAATGTACACTTCTCTTCTAAAATGGTCATTATTTTTTTGGTTTCGGGCACGGGCATACCTTGCTGATTTTCTATAAGGCACATAAGCATCATCCATAGCAGGAACTTCGACACCATGTGTAATAAAAAAAGAAGTAACCGTCTTATGAAATTTATCCCAACCATCAGACCTCAACTGTTGCATTCTGCTCTTTGCCACATTAACAAGTGAGATTGCATTAAGAATATCTTGATCCCTTTTCTGCAAATACTCGGATAACTCATTTGTGTATCAAGAATAACATACATTAAGTGCACAAAGAAAACAAACTCAAAGGTTTCAAATGCTCCAAGCACAAAATGAATCTTTGTCCAATCATCCTTATATGCAATATCAGCACCAAGCTCAATGAGCACATCATGGATTGAGGAATACATAGTGATGATGCTACATATAGTTTTGTAATGCGAGCCCCACCAAATGTTACCAGGCCTAGAAAAACCCATCTCTTGATTTAAACCACTCCCTGATTCAAGCTCACCACACTGTAGTGATTTCTTAACATTCTCTAGCCTAGCATTTCGAAGCATACCATGACGCATGCAAGAAACCCCAACAATGTTCAACAAGATAGATACTTGATAAAAAAGGTCTTGCAATCAGTATTTCCCTTGGCAACAGCTACAAGAACTAGTTGGAGTTTATAATTACCAAACGTGCGAAACTCAAATAGTATAGTCACATGCGATTGATGCTAAATTGCTAATCAGTGGTCTGTTGAACAAACTCACGAACACAAATTGAAATAATAAGAAATCACCCATAAATAAATAAATAAATAAATAAAAATATGACTATACGAGTACAGTACAAAGTTTTTTTTACAAATAACAAGATCAATACCTGCAGTCCTGCAACTAAGTGCCGTCGGAGTCGGAGTGCCGAACTGCCGATCAGTCGAGCAGTTCGGCGGCGTACCGCGGATGACCCAGCCCCGGTGAGCAGCGCAAACGCAATCCCAGGTCCCGCGTCCTGCCGTCCTGGGCCTCCTGGCCCGTGCGGCTGCGCCGCGCCGAAGGCCAAACTGTCGAAGCTCCGCCGAAGTGCCGATCGATGCCCGACGCGGCGACGCGATCCGCCCGAGTGCCCGACGCGCCGTCGCCGAACTGTCAAAGCTCCACCGTGGCCCGTGGCCGGCCGCTGGGCGCTGGCGCAGAGACGAAGACGACGACAGACGACTCGACTTCTCCACATGCAGTTACTCCTAGGCCTAGGCCGGCGCAAACTCTCGCGTCCGCGGTATGCGCGCGTGCGGAAGCGCAGAAGCCGAACCGAGTCGTTGAGTTGCTTCCTCTCTCTCTCTCTCTTTACGTATAAATTTTCTATTATGTATGTATGACTGCTGGACCCCAGGGTATGCAGTGGCCCACCCGGCATACCCTATGGGTCCGTCACTGGCCGCTGTACTTATCGGCGGCGGCGGCGGCGGCCACAGGAACGGCGGATGTGGCCACGAGAATGGCGACGACGGCGGTGGCGAGGGGCAGGTAGCTGCCGGCCATTGCGCACTGGTTTGGTTTGCTTCTTCTTCGTTCCTAAGGTAGGCGCACTTATATATATTGCATATGTATGATCAACATGTATATAGCTAGTACGTATGATTGTAATCAAGAACAGAGCGAATACAACAGGATATATAGAGGTCCACTCACAACATTGGCAGATGAATGATGATGACAGCTGCTATATATAGTTAGGTTCAGAGGAGCAGTACCGTAACATATACTCCCTCTGTCCCGGAACGTCTGTCGTCACGATTTGCGTATCGATAATTTTGACTCGATTTATAGAAAATACGCGCAATATTTCTATCTCCAAATAAATTTATTAAAAAACTAAATTCAAATATCTATCAATGATACTAATTATGTATCATAAATGTTAATAAACTTTTAATATATATTTAGTCAAAGTTCTTTATTGGAAAGCGAAAACGACATACAGCCTGTTCGTTTGGTCATAAACGATCGTAAATTTCCAGCCGGAACAGTGTTTTTCTCTCACATCAAACCAGCCAGCAGTAAATAATCCACGATCGTTTACTGCCTCCCGAATAGGCTGATATATTTAGGGACGGAGAGAGTAGTGCATACGTAGTGGAAAGGATGTATAACTGATAAAGGTGCCCCTAGGTGGTCCATTTGAGCAAAAAATGCCTTGGTTAGGATTTGTGCGTACTAAGGCTGTCTCCAACAACCGCGACCCAAAATACAAGACCTATAGGCAAATGTTTCAATACCTATTTTTTGTCTTCTCCAACAAAAGACCCAAAAGACAAACCTTTCTGCAAATGTGTCTCCAGGAGAGAGGATACTCGGATTTAGGTTATGCCTCTCCTAGTACCTAAAATGGGTCTTCCATATAGGTACCCTGTTGGAGGCTATAAATATTATGTTGGAGATCTATTTAAGGTTTGGATTCCGCAATGGATCTCCTGTTAGAGACAGCATAAGACCGTCTCCAACAAGAGATCTATATGGGCACCCAAATTCAAAATGGGTAATAGAGACCTAAAATCAGCCTCCAAAAGACTATCTATACGGAAGATCCATTTTGGGTTGCCTGATAGACACAATCCAAATATGAGCGTTCTCTCTCCTGGAAACCCATTTGCAGAAAGGATCCTCCTTTGGGTCCTGTTGTTGGAGAAAATGCTGAATGAGTATTGAACTCTTTGACTATAACGCTACCAAAGGTTAAATAGGTCTTGTATTTTGGGTGTTGTTGTTGGAGATAGTCTAACAAGGGTAAGTCCAATTTACACCCTCCAACTTTCACCAAAGTCCGGATTTCAACCTCGAACTTCAAAACCGGATAACTTTGGCCCTCCAACTCTAGAAACCGTTCAACTTTCAACCTTCCGGGCGGTTTCGCGGGTGAACAGTAACTTTTGATATTTTTGGGAGGAGCTGAAATTTTATATAATTTTGTCGAGCATCTTAACGTCCTCAAATGAAAAAACTCAAAACTACAAAGTTGTAGATCTCATCGAAGTCTACAATTTACATATAAAAATTATCTTCATCCGACAACGTATTGAAGGGTTTTCTATTTTTTGAAATTTGAGTCTCATCACGCGACAAAACAATTTTATCGCGTGATGAGACTCAAATTTCAAAAAATAGAAAACCCTTCAATACGATATCGGATGAAGATAATTTTTATATGTAAATTGTAGACCTCGATGAGATCTATAACTTTGTAGTTTTGAGTTTTTTCATTTGAGCACAGTAAGATGCTCGAAAAAATAATATAAAATTTTGGCATCATATTTTGTCGCGTGATTAGACTCAAATTTCAAAAAATAGAAAACCCTTCAATACGATGTCGGATGAAGATAATTTTTATATGTAAATTGTAGACCTCTATGAGATCTACAACTTTGTAGTTTTGAGTTTTTTTATTTGAGGACGTTAAGATGCTCGAAAAAATAATATAAAATTTCGCGCCTCCTGAATATATCAAAAGTTACTGTTCATCTAGGAAACCGCCCAGAAGGTTGAAAGTTAAATGGTTTCTAGAGTTGAAGGCCCAAAGTTATCCGGTTTTAAAGTTCGAGGTTGAAATCCGGACTTTGATGAAAGTTGAAGGTGTAAATTGGACTTTACCCGTCTAACAAATAGAGAAAATGGTGCGCACGGTCAACTTTAGAGCTAGTGCTTACTTCATGCGGCACGTCTACCTGACGACATGCGACGTGTGCAAAGGCTGCTGAGGTAGAGATCACAGACTGACAAGTGACAACATATGCAGACGGGATTTGAGACTGTTAATTAGTTAATTACACATATAGTCGCCAAAGAATGATACACCAGGTCAGATCGACGAAGGGAGAAGCTTGCAGGCTCGCTCTCGCGTACGTGATGCATGCAGGAGACCGAGACCAAACAGCAGGCTGACGAAGCGCGTACGCCCTCATAGCAGAGGCAGGGAACGGGAACGTGGGTACGTTCTACGCTCTGAGAATATCGTTCCAATTCGTAGAACGCGAACATGATGGAACATCGTTCTGAACACCGATGGAATACGACCCACATCACGGGAACCATGTCTAGCCACTTAATTGAAATTTGAGGCCCAAAATTCAATTGATGGAAGAAAAAAAAAGAGGAGAGGCAAGACGATGAGTTCCGATATCTATTTTATCTTTCTTATATTAAAACATTCTTAATTTTGCATTTAGTGAAAACTTGTGCTAATTAATTCATTCATGATATCAACCAATTTAAAAGGATCATGTTCATCGTTCCGGGATCACATCCCCGTTACACTTAATACACGTTCCATTAACGAGATCAAGCTATATACCCCATTCATCCCATGGACTTAAGAAATAATGTACCTCATACCACTTCTCCTTTACACTTGGTACACGTTCCATTAACGAGATCAGGCTATATACCCCATTCATCCTATGGACTTGAGAAACAACTTACCTGGTACCAACGTTCCGGGAACTTGGCACCACGGTCGCAAACACACACGTACTGCCTTCCTAGCGCATGCACTTCTTTATTTGTGCGGCTGCAACCAACACGAACAAACACACACCCTCTCGGTTCAGTTGGCGACAATGGCCGCCGCGGCGGTGTCACACATACGTACGTGCTCATGGATGGTCAGTGCGGGCACTGGTTTTTGTACGTGCACGGCCGGGTGTAGGAGCCTCCTCCCCTGGCAGCGCACTGGCTGCCGCTCGGGCAGACCGGCCTGTCCTTGTTGAGGGTGCCAGAGGAGATGCTGCCGCCTTCCGAATTCGTCGCTAGGATCCCGCCGAACTCCGGCGCCACCTCGTCCTCCACGCGCGGCGCCAGGTAGTGCCGCCACTCGTTGCCACGAGCGCCGCCGACCTGCTTTGTTGTCGTCCCGGGGCCGTGGACGAACACCATCCTGCCACCGCCGCCATATCTGCCGCCGCTGACGGCGGCGGCGGCGGCGGTCGGAACGACGGACGATGCAGCGAGGAGAAGGGCCACCGCGGTGGCGAGGAGGAGGACGGCGAGGGGCGCGCTGGTCGACATTGTTGAATTGTACACCGGTTTGGTTCGTCAATAATCGGCAAGGCTGGGCACGGCCTACGGTGTGCCTATGCACACGATTATATACGGGTGTGATGAAACATGAACCGGGGACAACAAGCATGGCATCGCTAGTTTGGGTATAATCCAAAAGCTAATAAAGCTAAAGATACCAATAATGAAATAAAGTTTGCTGAACTGAATTAGGTTCACCTAACTTGTCTGCTTATTTCACATTTGGTATCAAATCTCTGAAGATGCAGCTTCGGATTCTTAAACTTGCCGTCCTTTATTTGTTATACCTAGCTAGATCTTTCAGTTTTGACATTCAGTTGAACTTACAAGCTCCTAGACTGATTAAGTGATTTATAATATGATCGGTGTAGATCTCCTAATCAGTATATTATGGATATATATGTCGATCTGAAAGAGCTGCCATATATACGCATCAAATTGATCATCAGCAATATATAATGTCGGCAGCCAGAGGATATATTATCTGGGCCCTGGGCAGTGGCGGACCCAGCATTTGGCTAAGACTGGGCCAAATCCTAGCAGCCAAAAATCGAAAGCTATAGGACCATATATATATATATATATATATATATATATATATATATATATATATATATATATATATATATATATATATATATATATATATATACACATACGGTAAGACTATTCTACCGCTGGTCACAGAATAACTTATTCTATGGCCACCTTGATTTATGATAATGTTTGTACTAATTTACGATAATGGCAATACATATTTACGATACATGGGTTACTATAATTTAAGATGATACTTACCATAATGCTATAGTAAATCACTTACGAGGGAGTTACTGTAATCTCGTAAATTAGTATAGTAATTATCGTAACTTAAAGTGGCTACAGAATAAGTTATTTTTGTAGCCAGCTACAGGGCAGTATATATATATATATATATATATATAGCAAAGTTTGCAAATCGAGAGAATTTCTGCATCCGTATAGTTAATAGTACGATACAATAGCTAAGAAATATCATGGAACATTGAAAATAAATACCTATTGTCTAGTGACGATTTGGTGCATTCGCATTGTCCACTTCCGTGTCCTCAATAACAACTCCTAATAAGAAAAGGGCAAGCAAAATGTTAATAAGAAAATAATCAAGTAAAGGTTAATAATAAGATCTGATGCCGAGGATGGAGTAGCTTGTTATTCGGCATCTCCCTGTTACTCAGGAACTCAAGAGAAATACAAAACTAAAGTCATTGTCTTCTTCTTCTTGTACACTATAATGAGAAATTAGAATCTGTAGGGGACCGTGATGCCTAAGAGGAGGTTTGAATTAGGCAACTTAAAAATCTACTTCTAAGCTATGGTCTCTTTTTCTAACCCTAGCAAAACCTATGCAAAAGATAAACTATCTAAATGTGCAACTACGATTTTGCTAGTGTGTTGCTATCTCTACCACAAAAGGCGTAAAGTGATTAATGTAAATGCGGAAGTTAAAGAGCAAGGTAGAGATATGCAAACTCCCGTCGACGACTCCGATATTTTTACCGAGGTATCGAGAAGCACGCAAGCTTCCCTTAGTCCCCGTTGGAGCCCCTCGCAAGGAATCCCTCGCAAAGGCTAAGCTCCCGGCGGGTAACTCCGTGGATAGCCTCAGACCTTCCCCACGCGCAAGTGGGTCTCTGACGTGCCTTCCGGCAAGCCTCTTCCGGATGCTCACCGCCGTCTTCACTATCAAGCTTTCGGCCGAAACGCCGCGGGCCTTGTTTCCTCCGGTACATAGTGGCGGCCACACCACAACTACGGTTGGTGTGATCTCGCAAGACTACAAGCCCCTCCGATGTACAACAATGGTGCGCGCAAGCACCGAGTGGTAAGAGGTATGCAAACCTCACTAAACACTAGGCCTAAACCTAGAGCAAGCGCATAAGCGGTGGTCTAATCAACCTAAGCACCTACGCTAATCACCTAGTGAATCACTAAGCACTATGCAAGTAGAGATCACTAAAATGGTGTATTAACACCCTCGATATGTTTCCTCAGCTCCACACTCCTCAAATGGCTGGTTGGGGGATCTATTTATAAGCCCCACGGAGAAAGTAGCCGTTGGGACGAAATCCTGCTTTTCTGCTACTGACCGGACGCTGGAGTCATCCTGATCGGATAGGTCCGGTCGTCCCGACTGTTGGAGCTGCGAACAACTGATCGGACGCTGCCAGCGTCCGGTCATTTGCCACCGGACGCGTCCGGTCGCAAGTTCGCCGCTCTGGAACCTCTCTGTACTTGATCGGACGCTGTTGTCCTGCGTCCGGTCAGTTTGCCGCCAGCGTCCGGTCGTTGCTGCTGTTGCCGAGCCTCTGATTGGAGCGTCCGGTCGCTTTTCGTCAGCGTCCGGTCCAGCATCCGGTCGCTGTTGTGAGCTCGTTTCTTCGCGATCTTGCGTGCGTCTTGGCTCCTATCTTCATGCTTGGACTTTGCTTGATATCTTGGGTCTTTTCTTGTGCTTCTAAGGTCTTGCTTGAGGTGTTGATCATCGGATCATCACGTCGCCTTTGTCCAAGTCACGTCTTGCATCCTATTGAACTACAAAACAATCACTTACAAATTTATTAGTCCAATTTGGTTGTGTTGGTCATCAAGCACCAAAATTCAAAGTAAATGGGCCTAGGATCCATTTTCCTTACAATCTCCCCCTTTTTGGTGATTGATGACAACACGACCAAAGCAAGCAAATAATAAAATTTTGAAATTTAAAAACTACCTACTTGCTAGGATGCAATGCAAGGGGCAAGATTATATGATGATAAAAGATACTACTTGTAAGACTATATAAAAACTTATCTTACCCTTGTAAATGTCCCCATGTGGTATTATGGATTTAAGCCTTGCTTCCTATAAATTCTCCATATTACATAGGTTAATCCATAATCCACTATCCTCTTTTCTCGGACCATTACTACAAATTAATGCTTGCTTTTGGTCCTCTAAATTCTCCCCCCTTTGGAATCAAACACCGAAAAGGAAGACATTAGTAGCACAAGGGAGGGTCAAACTTTGTGATCCTTTGTGTGTAGAGTAGAATAGGTTACAAAATTTAACTCTCACATTATATAGACTAGGCTCCCCCTAAATATATGCATACATATGGTAGAAGACAAAGTATATGCATAATTGGCAAATTTTTGCTCAAGAGAATTTAATCTATATAATGCATGAAAAAAGCATACAAATATCAAGATGAAATCAACATGATGATATTGGTTTAGAAATACCACATGTGGAAACCAATTTGATTTCTACCACTTGCAATAGGTGGTGGATATTTGAAGATGATGCTTAACTCCGGGGACTCCATTTTCCTTGCAATGAGACTACTACACACATGATAAGCTTGAAAAGGTGTTAGTCTCAAAGCATCCAACTTGTAGAGTAACATCCCCCTAAATTTGTGTACACAAGTATGGAATACTTGTAGGAATCATGCACATTGATTTTAGAATCAAAATACCACTCGAAAGATGACATCACATGAGTGTGAAGGTCATTTTCGAAGGCGATATTTGGGAGAGATTATCTACAATTTGGACTTTGGCACATATTAGATGAACAATTGAAGGTCAAGCTATGTGTCGTGCCTCTAATTTTAAACAGTGTAGGTTTGCTCCAAGGGTTAAGAATGAAACCGAGCAAGCCTACCATATGATATACCTAGTGTATGCATGACAAAAGATATAAGAATTCAAATGCAAACCTAGGCATGAAGAGTAACTAGATGCTAAAAGATATCAATTGTAGAAAAATTTAAATCTAATACCAATTGAAGTAAATTGAATCTAGTTACCTAACATGGGAAGAGAAATTTGGGTCCATAGTATTCACTAACCCACTTGGTAATAACTTTGTCCATAATGATGCACCCCATAAAATGCATCCATACTTTGCCAAGTCTCCAAATTCCCCGACGTCCATTGGACTTCTCACTTCCCTTTTGGGATCCAAAACTTCTTGGTGCTCTTCATGTTGGAAATGATTTCCTTTGGCACCCAAAAGCGTTTGACCCCATTGTTGGCTTGCTTGTTCACCTTGATGGCCACCACCTTGTCATTTTTTCTCTTCTTTAACAAGTTTGGTGTGGAGACCTTCTTGTCCACCTTGTTGGTGTAGGTGTTAGAGAGCTTGCTTGTTTGCTTTTTCTCTTTCTTCTTTGCTCCTCCCCCATTCTTCACCTTGCACTCATAGGACTTGTGACCTTCCTTGTGGCACACATAACAAACCACGGTTTATCCTTCATCAAGCTTCTTCACTCCCTTGACGGTGTTATCTTGATGAAGTTGGGTTTGCTTCGCCTTGCCTTTTACTTGAGTCAAGTCCTTGGTGAGGCGAGCTACTTCTTGCTTGAGTTACTCATTTTCCTTTACAACCTCTTGTGTGCATGTATCTACAACAACTTTCTCAACATAATCTTGGTTGCACAAAGGTGAGTCTAAACATAGATCATTACAAGAAGTAGAGGCATCCTTTTTAGACATGTTAAAGATAGAACTTTTCTTTTTAGATGCCTTGGTGGGGGTTGTACTAACGGCTTCAAGATTAGCAACTTTATTAGTTAGCTCATCACAATGTTTGCACATGGTTTCTATTTTTGCAAGCAAACTTTTATAAGCATCTTATGAGCAAGCTAACTTTTCTTTTCATTTTTCATTTTTCTTTACAAGTTGCTCATCATTTATTGTGCATTCATTTGTTGTTGCACTAGCCTTAAGTTGCTCAATTTTAGTAGATAGTTCAACATTGAGATTAGCAAAGTTCTCATATTGTTCAAGCAAAGTTTTGTATGCTTCTTATGAACTATCTAGCTTTTTTAACTTTTGAGCTTCTTTTGTTGACTAGTGTAAACTTTAGCATAATTGAGATTTTGTAGCACAATTTCATCAAAAGAAGGCATATCATCATCACTATCACTCTCACTAGAGGATGAACTTTCGTTACCTTGTGCC